TAAGGACGGCCTCCTCTGTGTGCAAGATACATGTGTGTAGTGTATGCGTGTGTGTTTTGGGACGATGTGTTCATGTTTGTCTCCTTGTGATAGCGCGGAACTGATGCCGACTTTATAGTGCAACCTCACTGAAACATACTGCCGAAGACACCCCACCTGGTCACATTATACTGACAATGTGCGAACCAGTCGTCCTGCTCCTAAACTGCTGAGCGTTAAGCAGGAGTAGAAACTACCATTTTTCTCTCTGGTATGTCTCGGCCAGGGGACAGCACCCAAAACTTTCTCACAGGAGCGAGCGCTCAACTAAAGGCCAGAAGTGAGGCATTGTCAAGGGAGACATTAGGAAGAAGAAAATTGTTAAGAAAGAAGAGAAAAAATACAAGATCCCAAATAAGTCGCCTTTTACGCCATTTAAACAGGGTAGATGAATATATGTGTTGTTTTTGGACAACCCTTGGTGCATGGAGGTATCCATTTAGTGTTTTCGTTTCGTATGCAATTCATGTAAAATGTAGCGTAATTTATTTTAAGCATACTACAACTATTACTAAATTGTATAACTAAATTGTAGTCTCCGAGGTTTGTTATAACCTTTTTAGTAGTTACACGGTTCATTATATAAACTGAACTTAATATTTAGCTTCAAATTAACAAGAACGCGTTTTAAATGAATAAAAAACGGGTTTTACGTACCTCCCCTTCTGTTTCAATAGTAATTTTGACCATGCTGGAATTCCATCGTTATGGCGCCTACCATCACCTACGAGTCCAAGATGTACAAAACAGCTATATGATGCAGTGTTATTCATTTTAGGGCTACTGTATCTATTACTAAATTGTAAAGGTGCGCATACCCGTGTGCGTGTGTTACGTTCATCTCTCACAAAACAGAACAGAGAGCAGCAACTTCGTCTTTGGAGGAAATATCGATTACCAGTAAATGTACAAACAATATATTTAACATAGAAATTGCTATAATTTTACGTTTTTCTTTCCTTATCAATATCATTTTAATATACGTTTCGTTGTTAAATTATGCATTCTGACAAATGATTATATACCGTTATAAATGCAAGTGTGTTCTGAACACAAATAGTTATTGAAAACTTATTTTGCGAACTTTCCAACACGATTTTATTTTTGCCAAGCAAAAAGTGCAAATGACCTTTTTCTCGACTCGCTGAAAACCATCACGTAGCCTCAATGTGACGAAAAAGTCAATTCAAGTGTCAGAATATACCGACATACTTTTGCCATAAAGCACTACAGGCAGTCAGAGGAACAGGTAATATGTTTACCAATTCCGCCCTAAAGTGCCCCCACCCCCTACCCCCTCATCTCATCTCTGTTCATCGATTCCCCTTCCCTTCCTTCCCAGGTTTGATTTTTCCCCCTCACTGTACACTTGTCTTTGCTTTTAAGCATTCCGATAGGTGTTCCAGTCTATTATGTAGTATATTATTATGTTAACATGTCTGTAATGTCTGAATTTTATGTATTATTAATACTCCTAATATTTGTATACCGTTGTTTACAGCACAGCATTCGTACCAAATGTTTCAAATGGACGAAAGTGAATAGAAAAAATAAAACGTCCATTGTATTGTTTGTCTGTTACCTTTATCATTCAACTCCCTCCATTATGTATGAGATAAAATCAAAGAAGAGATTAAAGGTCGTTAACGGTCGCAGACAAGAAACATATCAGTTTTACGTTATCTAGGTCATAAGGGTTACGACAAAACACAGTCTGTAAGTGGATATTAAAATATCTATTCATTTTACTGGAAACAATCAACCAAACAAACGAACCGGAGTTCATAAGTTCCATCTCAATAAGAAATGCAAACGTTCAAAGGGGTTGTACAAATGACATTGTTTGAAACGTCGTCAAACATTATACCAATGGGAAAAGACAATAGCCTCAGGGAAATAGGAAAGCAGTGATAAACTCGTTACTCATTTGTATTTCAAAGAAATTTATTATGCCTAACATTGTTTTAATCGTAATCATGCCCCATGGATATACAAATGTCTTACTTCAAAGCTCAAAGCTTCAATGTCAATTTTCGCTAATGACGTCGATATTCAACGATCATGATAGTACATACACGGGAGGTAATGGTACCATATTCGTTCATTAAACCTATGACAAGGACAATATATGGCATTCGAGTGTATGCTCCTGCCAAATGAAGATTGGAGAAATATGCATAGCGTAATGGTGATGTAATAGTAATTGTAACGTTTTCTGAAGTGAATTGCATATAAATTCGATGGAAGTTATCTAAGATGACTTCTACCGTAGGTTTAACTTCAAGCAGACCCTTACTGTGCAAAATGTACAGGTTTTATAAAACCAGCGATATTTAACAATTTGTTTGTTTGTTTGATTTTGTTTAACGTCCTATTAACAGCTAAGGTCATAAACATCTTAATGTTAAATGTACATTTCTTGAAAGTGTTGAAATAATATTCCTACATTAGCCAGTTTGTTTTCCCTACCAGGTTCCTAAATGAAATTATAAAATGTCGATATATCTTTTTAAAGAAAATTACTGTACTGTGACACACTTTCGGAACACTTAGTGACCACCTCACGTTCATGATCATTATCATGAAGTGTCGGTAATAATGGTCACTGGAGAATATTCAATATCTGCAAACAATCAGTGAGACGTTGAGGTAGAAAACGATTTTTGATCAGTGCAGACTAATGTTCAATGCACAAGGACTTAACAAGTATTGAATTATAAAGAATCCATTTCATTGATCACTTCGGGTTATAGCTGTTACGGTTGTGTCATTGTTGTTGTTGCTATGTTTGGTAAACATAATTCCCAAATGCATTTGCCTGTTCATTTTCTCAATCAGTCGCAAGTTTTTGAAGCATATTACCTACATTGTGTCGTCGATACCAATATCGATCAGACTGTATCAACTGTACAGCATACAAGCTAACAGTGCTGAAGATCCGCATCATTTATTTATAAATGTTATCGTGGTGTGACGAAATAGATCGTTAACAATTGTAAATATTGTCAATTTAACAACAAGCCAAAGTTAACGCGTCAATTCCATGAATAATTAAATATAATTAAGGTATTTTGTACATACCAGACGTCATGCATGCCAATAGATTGGGAGGGGATTCAACAATACTAAGTCCTGTAGGTTCAGGAAAATAATTTGCCTGCTATTTTCCCACCGAATATGACCCAAGCATACATTCCCTTCTCTTTTCAGGGACATTTGAGAAACAAAGTATAGACCTGCCGTATACTGCTGCATGAGTAGAGTAAGCGGCGACTATGTCCTCTAAGACGGAAAAGTGAACCAAAATGAACTGCTGTCCCCATTGCAACACTCTTTTCTATTCACTCTTTCATATTGTCTCTTTTTTTCGTCGGTGGGCGCCAGTCTTCATATGACTCTGACTTACGTTTAACATCCACCAAATGATATCAATAACAATATTTTATATGTTTTTACTGCATAGAAATATTCTGTTCTATCTAATTTAACATGTCACTACCATAAAATGACCACATATTGTAATTCCAAAGGATGTCTCTACCCAAAAGTGTATCCTGACTTCGTCGATGTTTTTTGGAAGAAAAGACCTGCTCTATTCCACTGCATGTACCTATGAAGCGACTTATTTGCTTCTCCGGTAGTATCGGGGGATTTCCTTTGTGCATTTTACTATGGGGACATTAAGCACGTTAAACCCTTAACAAAAAAAAACCACATTAGGATATCCTGTTTTGTCTAGCTATATGCGTCTCTACTACAGACACTTTGTTCCGAATTGCCATATCTCTGCTGATTAAGCCATATCTTGACTAACATTTTGATAACGATGATAAATAATTCATCAGAATAAAGCATTTAGCCATCTTGATTTATCTATTACCTAGTGCCACTGGTAAGGTGATGTTTGCTTTTACTTATTACTTGCGTTTGGAGATTGGAATACAAAATACTTTGGACTGATTGATATTTAAATATTATGTCAGAACCATTCTATAAATCGATATATATATAAATATGTGTCTTGTCACTTATCAGTGAAAAGTGTACTTGTTGTCTCTCCTACATTTGTATAACAAAGAAACTGCACTGACTGACTTATTAATATATCTCACCAATATCCCAGTGCAATGCAAACATTTTGTATAAATAACCATAATATCGTATTTTACCAAGTTCAAATGACATATGGAAGATTCAGCTATGGTTCATTAACGGAGTGTTTTTGTTGGTCTACGTTTAATGAATATCACGGCAGCCGTCACGTTATAAGTCAAGCTTTCTCTTAACTGATAGTAATACCCCTGCTTTCCCTATGTATGGTGTTCACATGCCGCTGTTAATTCGGCACCCAATCGCTTTCGAATAATACGGCTTACAACACACAAATTATCGGTGTGAGGACGTGACATTACTTGAACTTGTCCTAGATTTTCAATGTAAGTGTCGCCGATGAAACAGTAAACGCTTACCCTTCTATAACCTTTGGTTTTTTCCCCCTTGTACTTTTTCAATAAGAGTTAGCTTTGCTCATATTAGCTGCTAGTTTTATCGAATGATAATGTTGTTGACATCTCGGTATTCTCTTGTTGTTTTTTTTAAAATGAATTTGATAACGACATAAAGTCCGACTGCAAGACTTGTTCTTGATTTTTCGATCGCCGATGACCTAACAACTTCTTTCCCCGACCCGTAAATATTATGACGAACGCGACTCATTTATACGGAAGCCTTTCCCTTCTGGAACTACTGGTTGTGCATCCGTATAAAGTATTTCCGTTTCTTATTGTCTTTCCTTTGTTTCTGGTATTATAGTGTCCTTGCGTGCCACAAAACAAAATAAGTAAAAGATCAAATAAATGAATAAAAGAAAGACTGTTAAGAAACTCTACCACAAATGGTGTTTAGTGTATGTTTGAACAAGCGCACGAGACAATACAGTGATAAATAAGCTTCATACGTACCAAGCTTCAAAAGGATCGTTTCATCTAGTCCGGTTACTGTAGAAATACTCATTAACACTGATCCAATGGCTACAATGAATAAACCTTGCCATGGAAGTGCCATTTTTATAGTCCCGGAATAAGTCAGTGTTGTTCTATGGTGCTCATATCCAACCGCATTGTAAAATACATCAAGTTGACAACCTTCAAATACCCTCCATTGAGCCAGTCAGTGCAGCAATAGAGCTAGTACTCCAGAGAAATATCAGAAATACATGGCTACATAACGATAACTAAATGAAGTTCAGATCGCAATCGTCTATAATTAAGCACACATTTACAAAAGTACAAATGCCATGTAGGACATTAACGTGGAGCTATGTAAGAGGACAGCATCAGACATCGGCACTGATCAACAAATACCGACGGTGTCATCCCTATGTAGCCGAGTATCGACCTCGTATAGTGACGCGGTAATCCAGACATAAATTGTACGGAAACATCTTAATGTTATTCTGTCGATTTATGGATTTGGCTCTTATTACCAATTAGTAACAGTACGAGTCGTTATCGCCTCAAATGTTTTCTTTGCAGAAAGATAAAGCGCAATGATTGTACAGGAAAATATTAATACTGATACTCGACAACTTTAATATAATGATTGCTTGTTAACTCTTACCCGAAGCAGTGTCTTAAAAGCAAATTCTTAGATATTTAATATTGTTTACCTATGATTCATCGTTTGAACGTGAGAAAACACAACAGAAGGTTGGAAATTGCCGTTGTTATATAAAGATTGTTCATTCATCATTCGAGAGCGGAAGGTAAACCGCGGTCTAGCATTTCTCGTTGTAGAGTTATCTCGTCCGTTGAATACCCTTCAGTCAGTGGACATTTTATAATATCATTATATCATTATTATCACAACCCGTGCAGGTTCGGGTAAGAACATGCCTGCTGTATCCCGCTGCATGATCTTAAAAGCCGACTGATGTGGGGCTCCTTTCCTGTCTTATTTCCTTTCCACCTTCTTTCTGTTTCAGCCGGTGTCTAGGTACCCCACCTCATATGACCCTCGTTGTTACGAGGACATTAAACCCCAAACAAAATGTATTATCACATGTGGAATTATTCTGACGTTTCTGAAATTCCAAGACACATGGTACTACTTTATATAAAAGCAAAACAAACAAAATACTTCACAGATAACGTTTTTATTATTTTCTCAAACAGTGTTAAAGCCTTGTTATAGTTCATGACAACGGCTCTTTTCATAAATCCACAAGATTTAAATCCTTGATAGAGATCACAAAATAGGCTCTGAACGCAGCACCGCCAAGGTTGAATTGTGGTCTTATAGATAAATTCAACGTATCAAAGTCTTAACATATCCCGTCTGCAAAAAAACCCTTTTGAAGTCACAGGCCCTTCGGGCCAGAAAGAATTCAGAATACGCTGGCCCCAACTAATTTTCACTGACCCAAATAAATGTACAAAATAACGAAAAAAGATAAAAATTAATAAAACAGCTTGAATGGTTTGTAAATATGTTTAATTATATAGTATTTTCATCATAATGTCAGTCCCTGCAAAATGACAACATGAACGCATCCACCTGGTTCAAAGACGGCTAGTTTTCAGAATCGCCGTTTGAGGAATAGTCACTGTCACTGCAATCTGCAAAGTCATCAAGCCCCTCTTTACAACTGCAGCAGCTGCTTGAGTAACAATCTAAAAAATGTAAAAGAAATGGTAAAATAAGAAATTGCAGGCAACCCATATTATTGTTTATATTTTGCATTTCAAACAATTGTTATACTTCTTTTCATCATCTAATATAAAATATACAAGTTAAAAGTACCTGTTCCTGAACATCTTCTGTCTGTACACCTGTATCTGCCCGTACACCTCTGACAGTCTGTACACCTGAGACTGTCTGCACCTCTGTCTGGTGTACTCGTGTAGCAGCTGCCTGTTAAGTAATTTTTAAATTGATATTTCAAAATGAAATATTTTAGTATTTAATTTTAATGATTTTTAATTATTTAACACAATTCAAAATATATACGAATTTAATCAATTAGTATTACAAAATTTGCCTGTCCAACTTCAATGATGTCCTGACCTGGCATACGCCTGCGATACTCTACCCTCCTCTTTCTGCCAGATGGACTCACCAATAGTAAATATATTGATATGTATCTATATAATAATATATTTGAATTTAAATCTATTGATAATTAAATAGTATTGTAGTGATTAAGCACAGGAAATCAACTAATTTATAAGGCCAACACAAATGTTAGATCAGATTTAGGGTTAAATCTGCAAGAATTTTAGGGTAGCTAGGAAGAGATGTTTTGTTTGTTTCACTTATTTAACATTTAAAGTACTGTAAACTATATAAGTTTATGGTATTTTCCCTTATAATATTCACCAGCCATTGCTTCACACTAGGGATTGGTTCAAACTCCTCAATGTTTCGAGACTGCATATGGACTAGACACTAAAAACACAACAGGCACAGAACTACAACTGAAAAAGATTTGTTTGTTTGTTTGATTTTGTTTAACGTCCTATTAACAGCTAAGGTCATTTAAGGACGGCCTCCCCTGGGTGCAAGATGCATGCGTGTAGTGTATGTGTGTGTATATTGGGAGGCTGCGATATGTTCGTGTTTGTCTCCTTGTGATAGCGCGAAACTGATGCCGACTTTATAGTGCTACCTCACTGAAACATTCTGCCGAAGACACCCAGCAGGACGCCCCACCCGGTCACATTATACTGACAACGGGCGAACCAGTCGTCCCACTCCTAATTTGCTGAGAGTTAAGCAGAAACTTAGAACTCTGGCCACTGAAACTGGATACTAAGGTGGCATTCGCCATTTGTTCTAGTGGGAAATCGAGTATCAATAGCATCGATAATGCTTTTCATTAGTTTGGGAGAAAGCTTTCAAACATCTGTTCTATCTGGGACCTGGGCCCGGGATCATGAAACGGACTTAAGTCTAATTCTGGACTTAAGTTCAAAGTTTTTTTGACTTAAGTCTAGTCTAAAAACAGACTTAGCTTGGGGATCATGAAAAAAAGAATTAAGTCTTAAGTCTAAATTTCTGTCTTAAATCCTAAGACTGCTACAGGGCTGACTTAAGTCTGAATTTGATCTTAAATATGGCGGACATATCGTACGCTTCATGTGCCCGTCTGCTCCATTGAGAGAAAGGAAGAGACATTTTGTCCCGAGTACTTCTAGACCATTTACTTTTAAAACCCTCCAATTAATTCAGGACTAATGGAGAGTTTTACAAATGTGCTATTGATTCAACTGACCATCTTGAGGCGGTCCACATCGTAATCCATCAAGACCATTAAAGTTTCCGACCATCTACACTCGCTGGCTCAGTCTCATTTTATTGTAGACGTGTACATCCCTATAAAAAACATACTTATATGTAGTTTAATAGACCTCTGCAAACAGACGTTCGCTTGAACTTCCACCGTACGCGTTCCGATGTTGTAAACAATGCGACTGCAGCTCCGCTTCCTCGACGGTACCGTAATAAAACTAATAACGCTCTCATTTGCGAGATCACAATTATCACCGTACTGCGGATGAAACGAAGAATTCTTTATTTTAATAATCATACATTGCTTAGAGAATTATTACTTTCTAGCTGGTTTCTTTTTATATAGTTGTACAATTGTAACTAGTTGTAGTATTACACAAGAAAAAAGTGATAAACTTTAAATACTTAACCAGAATTTGCAATATATATATTTGAATATAGTCAGTCAGCATGTCCTGGCAGGATTAAGATTAATAAAAAAATTGTAAGACATTCAGCTTTTCAATATTTGAAGAAACTGATCAACCTTGTCTGGCCTTCAGCTTTTATTAAAATTTTCTTGTCTATGGACTTTAAACAAATCTGATGTGATGATTAATAATAGAGAATATTCCCCTACCTGGAGGGTGAGACACAGAAATCTCCAACCAAATAGGAGATTTTTTTAGTTGTCAAATCGTTAGTAAGACAACCAAATAATCGCACCGAGGCTCAGACAATCAAATATACACGTATAAACTGGAAAAAGAAAAAGAAAAAATAAATATCATAATGACTGATTTCTAAGAACAACCATGATCTCATAGATATGCATATCTTTCCAGATATACCATAGCACACTATTCAATGGATATCTCAGAAAATATTCTTCTAAAGCAATTACTTTGTTTTTAAAATTATAATTTATAAGTAATACCAGCCTCGGCAATATTGCTCAAAAGGCTTACATGTGATAATTCTTGGGGATCATCGGGATATTTTATAAGTTATTATTATTTACCCCTATACTTATGAAGGGAAGGTTTGCTAGCAAAATAATCAGATCAATGTTTGATAAAAAAAATCATATGATCTGTTACAGCTCTAATTAAGAACACACACACATCTTATTATTGTTATTGTAATAAGAAGACTATCAAAATAAGCAGTCAAGTTTCAATCCAAGCATGATTTGACCAAGACTTTTGAAAGAGATTTTGAAAAGATATCGGGTGTTATAGTAAAAGGTACAGAAGGAATGGCACTCAACAAGAGAATGAAATTTGCTAATGTCGGCTTAATAGTGTGAATCAATCGAGTTTCATAAAAACATATGGTACAAAGAATTTCAACAACTCCTCAATATATTTTGCTTCTTTATCTCAATAGATACTTTTAAAAAGAAAAACTCTTATCAGCTCATTCACTTTTTGATAAAAATAAATATCAATAACTAATTGCAGTTAGATAAGCATGATAAACAATGTGAAACCTCTTTAATTGAATAGAAAATTAACATAATTTTGTAGGATAATTCAACATTTGTATGGTCAAAACAAGCACAACATAAGTTACAAGAGTTTGGCTAAATATGGCACTAAAGTAATACATGTACATAACAACTGAACATCATCATGGAATTACTCAAAATAAAAAATCACCATATATTTCAAACATATTTTCAGTACATTTTCAGTACATTTTTAGTAATAAAATTAGTATACAGGTGATAACAGTATTTGTTATTTTTTTCATTTTATTCCCGTTCTATTTAAATCGAAGTCATGACAACTAAAAGAGTTACTTCGCCCCCCCCCCCCCCCCCAGTTAATGTGGAAGTGACTATAATTTCTTTCATTCATTATTTTTTGACAGTCGCCCAAACTGTTTTTGTTGGGCCAGTGACTACCTCACTTTTGACAACTTTTGGTGGCTCAAGCAAGACTTTAACCGCCATTGGCGAGCTGTTAACCGTCCATTTCAGGCACTGCTGCACAACAAGGGACCAAGGGAAACCTACATATCAAATTTGAGAAAGATCCCTTTGACACTTCCCTAGAAATAGCGATAACAAACTTTCACT